TTATGAAAGTGTACCTGCATGTTGCCTAGATTCATTATCAAATTTTACTTTTCTGGCTTCTCAGCATGTAGATTTAAAATAAATTATTATTTTGTTTATGGATTTAGTTCAGCAGCTTTAGTGTGAGAGCAGGGTGTCATATGTATATCATATTAAGCAAAAAAAAAAGTCCTGATTCTAATCATCTCTTATCTAAAGGTTTTCATCACTACATTTGGATTTCTCACACACACACACACACACACACACACACACACACACATCAGACACTGCTGTCTGCCTTTGCTTCATGTGCTCTCAGGTCAGACGAGGGTTTTGGCAGCAACAACTCCATTTTCAGACAGAGAATCAGTGAGTAGGTAAAATAAAGTTATACTCTTTTGAAAAATACCATCACCTGCTTGGCTGATAGGCATACTGCGACCTCCATAACGAGAGGGCAGTGATAGGAAGAGAGCAAGAACTAGCTGGAGTGGAGGAGATGAGGCCAGGCTGAGGGGGAGCTAATCCTGTTGCCCTGGTGGCACCTGTGGAGCAGAGAAGTCTTGTAAATCACCCTGATTTAAGGTACAAACTGGGACCTGCTTTGAGAGGGAGCCCAACATGGTGAGTGTAAATTACTAGGTGATTCCAATAGTCTCTTAAATGGGTGGGTGGTCAGAGTTAGGCTCCACATGGTCTGTCGTCTGTATCAGTAAACCAGCCAAACCCTCGTTGGAGGAGGCGCCAGTAAGGGCAGAGTTCCCATCTTTGGAGTGAAATGGAAACCTAATCGATAAAACAAAGTAGAATTTAGTCATGTGGACTAGACAAACATGATAGAAGACATTCAGAGCCCTATGCCTCTCCCCAGGCACATGGGACACTGAGCCTATGGTAATAGGTTCCTGGTGGTTCCCACTCTGGACACACCCCAACTGAAGGTCGGCTTGTACTGGGCAGGGCTGGTCATGGAGGTGGCTCTTGTTTTTGCAGGCTGAGGACATCAGCTGAGAGATACTGAGAAAGGCATTGAAGTTCCTGTCACATTCACTCACTCATTCATTCATTTATTCATCACATTTTTATTGAGCACTTGTAAGGTACTAGACTTAGACTAGGTACTAAAATATAGTGCTGAACAAAATGGAGAAACTATCCTTTCCTGTCATGGACACGGACATGCCCTCCCTACCATATATAGTGAAGAAAGATACTAAGCAGATAATCACACAAATAAATATGTAATTATGAATCATAAGAAAGTTTTCAAAGAAAATATACAGGGTGCTAAGAGACTATAATAGGAGAAACTGATTTAGTTTAGGGTGTAGTGGTCAGGGAAAGTCTCTCTGCAAATTCAGGTTTAGATAGGAGTCAGCCAGGGGGAAAGATGGGGTAGAAGCATTCTCAGTAAAGGGAGGGACATGTCAAAAAGGAAAGAGGTGGCAAAGACTGGTGATAATTAGGGTAGTTAGAGCATAGTGAATGATTTCTCTTCAAATAAGTTTAAGAAAAATACATAAATTGGAATAACAAATATATGGAATTAATAAAAATAAAATTATGTATTTTACAATACCATAAACTTCTAAATCTTCTTTATTATTATATAAACATTTCTGCTATAATTGCTAAGAGGAATGAGTCATGCTGAAGTCAAACTGTATTTGCCTGGTTTTGTGTATTATTAGGCTGCTTTCCAGAATAGACTAACGGGGATTATAATCTAGGAGCTTAAAAAGGAACACCCTGCACACACACACACACACACACACACACCTTTAGTAAATTGTTTAAGGGTATTTAATGCTGATATGATCCTGCTATTCAATTCAACTAAATTTTCTCCAAATTTCAACACAGACCACATGGAGCTAGTATTATAGCAGAGATAGCAGCCTTACGAAACTCATTATTCCATCTTTATAATCCTCTTCCACTTAAGTCCTATTTCATTAAAAATAGTTGTGCTATCCAAAGGAATAATTGGTAAGAATGAAGATTAACGGTTCATCATGAAGGTGATTGGATTACATATTGATACTGATCTTGTGTTTTTAAAAAAATTAACATAAGTAAACATCTTTTTATTTTAAATAAGTACATATATACAGATTAAAAAATAAAACAAAAATTCCTGTGAAATATAAAAAGCAATCATTTAAATATATTTTATTTTGCCTCCCAGGTCCAGGCAATTTTAACTATAGTACCCTGTAGTCTCAGTAATATATCATGCTGAATAACTACTTGTGTTTTATAACAGCAGTAGCTCTGTATGTTTTTCTGAACTTAATAAAAAAATAGTAATATAGAGCAAAAGAGAAACCTGGGTAGAAATCAATCCACCTACGAGAAATGTTATTAAAATCAACATATGAGCGCACACGTTTCTTCAAGTGAACTTTTTCAAAATTCACTCATTTAGTTATTAAAGCACTAATTCATTTGTGTATGCAATGCCTACCGTGCATGGAGGACCAGGGCAGAGTGTGGAAAGATCCCTGCAGTAGGTGGTTCGGGTTCTAGTTCTTACTCTTACACTTTCTTGCAACACAGCTTTGGGTAAATCACTTTTTTGAGTTTTGAGTTTTGTCATTTGCAAACACAGTTGTTGTGAGGTTTAAAAGATGTAACAAATGTGGAAACTCCCTTGATAACTGTAAAAGTACTAAATAAATGCAAGTAAAGTCCTCTAAGGAACTTAAGAGTCTAATAAAAAACTCACCAATGAATGTTCTTTCTTTTTGAACACTGGTTATAGACATTGAACATACACTTTGGGGCTAACAATTACTTAGCTTCTTTTAAACCAGAGAATAGTTAGAAAATGTCCAGCTTTTCACTTTGAAATTAGTGGGTTAGTGTTACATGGGAGGACCTCCTCCATGATTAACAATATTCCTTACCCTGTGCTGTCTCTCTGTTAAAAATTAGTTGGGGTAAATATCATGTATCTGGGAAATCCCTGTTACAGACTCAGGATATAGAATAAAAATAGGAGGCAAAAGTAGGCTCTGCTTTCTTTCTTGGAATAAACTTCTAGAAGTGAAGTTACTAGACCAGGTTCTTTGCACACTTAACTAAATAATGCCTTTCAGAAAGGTGGTAACAATTTATAGACAATGCTAGACAATACTCACAATATTCCTGATTAGCAGTTTTACCTTTTACTATCTTCCATAATTTAATTACTCAAAATCCACAAGACTCAGCTATTTTCCTTCCTCACACAGTATATTCCTGTCTGGACGTGCACGACAGGATGGCACAGGCTGAGTGTTTAAATGAGCCTTCAATGGCTTACCGCTCCTCTTATGACAAATCCAAACAGTTTAATAGTTTACACGCTCTGGGTGAAGTGGCCTCTTCTTTCCTCTCTAGCTTCATCTCTCACTACCAACTTCTCTCTTGAATAGGCCAGCTGTCTCTTATGTTTAGATCTTTGTTCAGGCTATTACTTCTGACTAGAACACCAGCTTCTCAGTGTGAAGATAGCATTTCTGACTAGTGATAGCAAAAGTGGCCCCCGCCATACAGCTATGAGTATTGACTTCAGAATGACTGCAAATGTCTATGGAAAAAATAATAACCCGATTTGCCACTTATTCAAAGTAGCAGGTTTTGATATGGGCATTATTCTCTTGGAGAGGAAGAGGCTGGTGGTATGTAACTGGGGACAGGAGAGGATAGAGAACGAGCACCCAAGAGTGCTAACTGCACTCCTATGTCAACCCAAATATGAAAACATATTTCTTCATTTTCATTTTATGAGAGACCTAGCAAATAAGTAATTAGATGATTTAAAAGATATACTCAGGAAAGCAACTCAACTATGAGTTGTTAAAATCTTTCACATCTTGTATATCTAGATGGTCTGTCTTCCACAGCAGTGACAGATTAAATTTTTTGATGCTGTGTACACTAAGCACAATTGTTCAACTCACTTAAAAGCCTGTAGTCCATGTTTTTCAAGGGCTTCTAATAAGAAGCACAACAAACTCCCTTTTAACCAAAATGTCATAAAATGGGTTGACTTTGTGATTTGAATGTTATGGCTAACAAGATGCTCAGCCTCCACAATGCCATTGTCCTAGTTTCTCATCATCCACCTGGCCTTAATGGCCCTGCCTTTGGCCTCACATCTCTTGATTGATGCTCTGCACCAGAGAGATCCTATAGGCCAATCTCATCATGCAAGTCCCCAGCTCAAAATTCTTCAGTAGCTCCTTATTACTACAGGAAAGAGCCTAAGTACTTTATCATAAAATTCCTGATCTAAGCCCCACCTACTTCTCTAGGGTCCCATCTACTGCCCCTTCTCACATGCTTTCCTTCAACTTTTAATGAACCAGTAATTTTGAGCCACATGAAGTCCATGGAACATGCCATATTTGCACACATTTGTGGCACACTTTCATACGCCTTCCCACAAAAATACTGCTTTTCACTCTTCACCCAAATGCTCCCCATTCTGAAGCCTCTTCTCACTTCCCAAGAAGGCAAAGGCCGTTCTCCTACACTTCTTGCACCCACCCATTACAAACTGTATTGGGACTCTCGGTCTGTCTTTCTTTCCATATTACGGTGTGCTATGTCTTCTCATTTTTACCTCGAGAACCATGCTCCAAGTCTAGTGCACAGTAGATGTTCATTTTTAAATGAAATCATAAATATATTAAAAATCTTTAATGTTGAACTTTACAGCTATTCATTTACTGTGTATTATCACACTAATGATTAATCAGCTAATTATTAGTCTCCATAAATTCTGTGCATATTAAGTTATTTCATTAAAAATATAACCTGCTACAACACATGAACTCATTGAACATATGAACTGAAGAGCAAAGCAATAAGCCATCATTTTTTTTTAAACGTTTTTTTCAGGGCATAACATCTAAATTTAGGATCTTTTGTGAAAATCTGACAAGAGGATAAAAATAAATAATCTGGAATTTACCAAAAAGAGTCTGCCAATGAAAGTATTATCACAGAGTCTTTGAAATTTTACTTACATGGTATAGTGTGGCCTCCGGCACAGGTGTGCCCATGATATCTTGTCTCAGTGCATCCATTTGCAAACTAGGTAGCAATGAATAGTGAGTCGGGCTACTACTCTTATCACCCTTCTTTTTAGACTTCTTCCCTGTGTCTTTTTTGCTGTTTCTCTGAAACATGTATTCTTCTTGAGCAATTTTTTCATTGCTCATATATCGGAGTAGAGAGTTTTCTATATAAAAGAAGATAAACAGACCAATGTAAATATGCAAATATTCCAAAGTTCCTATTCTTCCTTAATTGTACTATGAGATTTTGTTTCAGAAATGTAACTTGACTTCATTTATGAAATACCTTTGTAGTGAAAATATAGAGGATCTTAATTATTTGGGATCATAGGGAAACAGGAAATAGATAGCCTATAGATTATTTCTCCAAGTTTTAGGTCTGAACAAACTATATCAGAATCACCTGCGGAAGTTGAATCAGACGTTCTGGGTGTGTGGCTCATAAAATGTTTAACAAGCTCCCCCAGGGAGATTCTGCAAAAATTTGATGACAAACACTGACGTATGGCAGGCTAGGGAGCATCCTTGGAGAAGTTAAAACCCACACTATGGACCAACAGTGAGGAAACTTCGTTCATAAAACCTATGCTTAAATTGATAGCCAGAACTATCAATTGTAACTATTAGTACAGTGCTTCATAAGGCCTTTTTCCCCCAAGATGTCACTATCATATCAACTCCCAAAAGAGTGACTCAGAGAAGGCATATAAGTGTTTCCCTTTTTATATTTTTCTTGGTTAATTCTATAAAACAAATGAGGTTAGAAACTGAAGTTTGGAAGACGGAATGAATACATAGATGTAAAGGAGTCTGTCAATGATCCTATATTTACCAACACTTTCAGAAATTCTCGCTCCATGAAACAAGTGTTAAGAAGTCTAATGAAGCAGATAGTCATGCTTACTTATCCCTGTGTAGTCTGTGGATCTGTGTATTAATGAAATAAATTCTGCACACTGGCTAGAAATAACAGGCAAGTGGGTTAAACATGTTATAAAGGAAGCTTAGTGACTTTAGGTTCTATGAAAAGTTTTTTGCTTTGTTTTGAATAATTTTATTTTTCATCTATAACCTTAGGGATCTCATTTCAGAAAATGCAAGTAGCAGCATGACCCACTGGGCCCACCATATCCACACTTGGTCGAATCCCATTTAGTAGCAAAACTTCCAGTTGCTCTCTTTACTGCTCACCTCAACGGCAGGATAAGTGAACATAAAAACTTACTTTTGGCAGATACTTCAAGTGTAGCCCACCCCCAAGTAAGAAGATAACCCTGAACAGCAAACAGAAGAGAAAAAAAAGCAAAGCAGTTTTTTTTTCCATTTCTATATGGTTTTCATTAGAGTCACTGGCCCAGTTTCTATTAGTTTTTACCCATGTGCTTCAAAGCTCAATTTAACGTTATATTAATACAAAAGTAGTGAGGTTGGCATTGCGGACCAATGGGGACTGATCACAAACTCTTTCTATTTGTTGAACTTAATTCTTTTATGCAGTTTCACACTTCTGACCTTGTTTTCCAAGTATTAACTTTCAAATAACACTCAGATATTAATTTTTTACATTGTACTTATCTACCCTGAATCCCTTAGGAGGCATTCAGAGAAGATATCTACTTAATAACAGATCAAGATAGTTAAAGGTTAGTCTGAGTTGGTTTGGGTGTATCATAAAGTCAATGAGAGAATGAATAGTTTTCCACTGAAGCCACAACATCCTATTTAAAAAACATTTAAATTTGCTTTTTGTTTCAACAACCCAGCCTACACTGAAATTCTAGAACACTTACCTCTTCTACTATCTCTCTTCATCTTATTTGGATCTTCATAGTCCCCCACCCAATTATATTCCACTGGCATAGATATAGGTCGTAGCTTGCCTAAACACAGAGAACAAAATTCACATCACATTGTTTTTCTTCCCCACGTCCGCTCAAACTTAAACGGACTTTTAGCTACAGTCTGCAAAACACACTCACTCATATGCAACATTATGGTTGGCATTTGTGAAGGTGAAAAATATGTGTGTTTTGAGCCAGAAGGTGAAACTGCCTGTGGCAATTGGCCAGGTGATAATGCAAACTTAAGGCACTTTTTATAAATAATAAAGAACAGCCTAGGTTTGCTCTCTTAGGAGCCCCAGGCTTTAAGAATGTGGCCCTTTACAAAGAGGATCATCATTTTAGTGACTTCATTTTCAATAACTGGATCTGTCTTATTCCCCAATGCCCAAGTGTCTTTATCTTGATAGCCAATCTCCAGGATAGTAGCTCCTTGGGTTTAACCTGCCTGCCAGAACATTAACCCATCATTTCATGTTGGAACACCACAATACTAACTTCCCATCTTCACTGCCTTCTAACTCCTATCTGCTTTTTGGATACCACTATTCTTCAGCAATATGGCTATACTCTCTTTTATGGCCTAAAGCTGGGTCTGCCCCAAGCATCTCTTGCTATTGTGAACTCTAGTTTCTAGTTCCAAGTAATCACTGTTTTGGCCCGTCCCATTTCCCTCTGGGTCTGTGTTCTTACTAAAAAGCATTTTAATTTTACTTTAGCAAGCAGAACTCATGGCACAGACTTTAAGGATAGCTTTTCGGTGAGGCTGCAGTGTATTATTTCTGATCAACTTGAAATTCTTGAAGCACAAAACAGCCAAAAGAAAATCATACTGAAGTTTAAAAAGGATACCTAGCACAAAGTCTGGCATATAAATTTACTAACCAACATTGCAGTTGGCCTTTGTGAAGGTTAATAAATTCTGAATGAAGGAAAATTAAAGATTCATGTGGGACTGGGTCATAATAATAATGATGATTATGATGATCATGATAATAGTACTAACATGTATATATCATTTACCATATGCCACATATTGTCTAAGGGTTTTATAAGTATTAAATTGTTTAATTATCAAAATTATGAGAAATACACTATTACCCTCATTCTACCAGATGAAGAGCCTGGGACAGGTTATGTAATTTACCCAAGGACACACAGTAGGTAAGTGTGTAGTACCAGGGTTCAAACCCAGGCACTCAAACACTACTTCTGTAGTAATTTTTGGTGACTTCAATATTCACCCTCCAATATTTTGGCCTCTCAGTTTCTTGAGGTTCTCTCCTCCACCCATTCTTGTGGTCATATGCTTAATCTTGTCACCTGCAAAGGCTGTAATTCTTCCCAGTACCCCAATTTCCTACCACCTTCTGTATTTTTAGCACATCCCCTACAGCACTCCAACAATTCTTCCTCCTTTAATCTACCAATCTTCCCACCTTTCAACACCTCCTGGTCACTGTATGTCCTCTTCACTTCGCTCCTTGCCCAGATACATTTCACAATCAAATTGCTATGAACACTCCATGGAGTTAAAAAATTCATCAAGATACTTCTTTCTCATTATGTTCTTAAGGAAAATGTGCCAATCTTATGGCATTTTATTATGTATGCTGATACAGCTTACTTAGTATATTTTCCTAAGCTCTTTGAAAGTCTGAGGATGAACTAGACATGATAAAATTATTATTATTATTATTGTTGTTATTATTATTATTTTTTTGCAGTACGCGGGCCTCTCACTGTTGTGGCCTCTCCCGTTGCGGAGCACAGGCTCCGGACGTGCAGGCTCAGTGGCCATGGCTCACGGGCCTAGCCACTCCGTGGCATGTGGGATCTTCCCGGACCGGGGCACGAACCTGTGTCCCCTGCATCGGCAGGCAGACTCTCAACCACTGCGCCACCAGGGAAGCCCTAGACATGATAAAATTATTAATGAGCCCCCCAACGAAGTATTTATTTAATGGCTTCCTTTCAAGGTGTGCAAACAACTTTATAAATGATCATCTCAGTTTCCAAATTTTCATGGGGTAGATTTCTGCAATTTTACAGAGGGAATTTGGGTAAGCTGATGCACGTCAATATATTCTGCCCATCCAGGGTGGCATAAAGGTTTTAGGAAAGGTCTCATTTTGTCATGTCTATTCAACTGCTTTCCAAAATCAGTCCTCCAGCTTTTTAATGTTATGAGTGCTATATTTTCAAAGTTCTTACAACTCATTTCTTTAGAATCTGGTTTTAAGGATAAACTCCATTTCAGCATGGGCACTGAAACTGAAATAGTTAACAGCTCTAACACTGTTTCTACATGTCACTAAGAAAATCTTTTGAAAAGTGAAAAATCCAACAAATAAGCGTTGTTTTAACTTTCTCTCGCTAAGAAAGAAAATAGTCTGATAGTTTTTGAAGAATTGATTGGTTGTTTGGAGTCAAATAAATGTGCACAAAAACAAGAAGAAACTTCTCACATAGAATACAAAATATATAATTGTATTCGTTGTATTTTACATCATATTCTCTGAGATTTTCATGGAACTAAGCCATGAAAGAATGTAATTAAGCCTTTGCTTTGTCTGGTTATATCATTCACCATAGGAAAAAAATTTGCAGAAGGTTTAAACACTGACTTTTTATGGAGTGATTTTTTTTTAAACAGAAGTATACTGTATATTACTGATACAAAATTGAGGAAAATATATTGAACCAGACAAAAAACTGAGATAAAAAGTCTTAATTAAAATTTACTTTTATAGGGACATCAAGTTTTTGCTTTTACTAGTTAATAAAGCTGTGAATTTTAGCAATGCAAATCAAAATAAGTACTTTTAAAAGTAAAGTGTATTATTTGTTTAGTTATAACAAATAATGTTGCTTATAAACAATGCTTTTATAAATTTTTTATTGTGCTAAAGTATTGAAATAGATTTAGTAAACAACAGTCTTTGGCAAATTAAAAAATAGACAATGGCTTAAATTATTTCTAATTTTAAATATATAGATCTTTGATTGCAGCTTGGAAATGCTTGCCACTGTGTATTTATAGCAGTGTTTTAATTTCATAACAGCAAAGTTCAAATGGAAAAAAATCTTTATGGTTTGATGCTATAGTGATGCTAAGAAAAAGAGTTCTACATGCATTATTGCTAGATTTAAATCAAATGTACACTATTATTAATACAGGCAAAGTATTTTTATGCTCGTATGACCTTTTAAGGCTTATTAAACACATCTGACTCATTCCGACGTAATTGTGCATAAATTAGTAATAAATCTCTGAAAAATAATTTGGAAAATTGAAAGGTATCTCTTTATGTAATAACGCTATTTACTAATTCATAATGAAAATTAATAATAGTCAAGAATATAGTAAAAACATGAAGATAAAAGCCCATTTAAAAATTTTGCTGACTACTTCCTCTTAACAGAAATTTTTTATTCCTCTAAGCATGAAACAGTTATTAATTATAGAGTTCATTTGACACATCATCATAAATCTTGTGATAAATCTGTGCTAGTATCTCATAGTTAAATTATTATTCTGTTACTTGGCTTTTCATATCTGTTGCACATCTGGAGCATTCTAACTGAGATCTCTATAGAGGCAGGAATTGTGCACTGTATTTCTTATTGTAGTCTAATAAATGTTCAAGAAGTCAAAGATAAATACTTTTGGATTTTGTTTGAATTTTATTCTGAAATTAATGGCAAGTAGCTTTTTAAAAATAATGAACTATATTTAGCTGCAATTAAACACAAACAGAACCTTAAATATAATTTAAAGAATATTTAGCACAGGGAACTATAATTCAATATCTTGTAATAATCTATAATGGAAAAGAATTCAAAAAAGAATCTATACATATCTATACGTATATATGTATATATATGTATATATATATATATATATACACACACACACAACTGAATCACTTTGCTGTACACTTGAAACTAACACAACATTGTACATTAACTATACTTCAATATAAAAATGGTTAAAAAATAAAATAAAGATATATTAAATCTAAAAAGAAAAAGCAGATAGGAGTTTTAGAAAGTCCAGGAACAAGCCAAACTAAACAGCGTATTATAAGGGACATATATAAATTGATAAAAACTATTCTAAAAAAGCAAAGAAACAATAAATAGATAATTCAGGAGAGTAGTGATATTAACGAGATAGGGTCAGACAGGGATCCACTGTTGGAAGCAAAGACAATGGTTAATATTCCAATTATTGGCAGGTTGCCAGAAGAACCAACCATGTGATTAGAGGGTTGGAACTTTCAGTCCTATCCCCCACCCCCCCACAACCTCCAGAGATGGGAGGGGGCTGGAGATTGAGTTTAATCACCAAGGACCAATTATTTAATCAATTGTGCCTATGCAATGAAGCCTCCATAAAAACCAAAAAAGGACAGGGTTTGGAGAGCTTCCAGGCTGCTGAACAGGTGGAGATGCTAGGAGAGTGGCGCACCTAGGGAGGGCATGGAAGCTCCAAGCCCTTGCCCCATGCCTTGCCCTATACATCTCTCCCATCTGGCTGTTCCTGAGTTATATCCTTTTATAATAAACTGGTAATCTACTAAGAAAAAAAAAAGAATACTGATGTGATGGAATGCCTTATAATGATCTAATACTCTGTTTTAATATGAAATTGCTATGTTTTAATACTAGTGTACAGAATTGCTTGAAAATAAACCAACTTTTTCCTTAGACAGTAAAGCATTTTCAATGCTATTACGAATGTTACAGTGCTCTTTGGCAGAGTTAATTGCTCACTCTCTTGGGCTCCCTTAGCTCTTCCCTAGTGCCTTTTGTATATATGATCCTTAATTATATTGTATTCTATCTGTCTGTTTATGGGTTTCTCTACTTTTTGGCAGGAACTTACATATCTTTGTTATGGAAGTTCCTGGCAAAGATTCTGACCCAGAGCAAGTATTCATTAAATTTCTTTTGAATGCTTGAATGAAAGGATGCTAGACATTAGGGAGATCCCAAATTACTGGACTGTTCACTGGATTCTACTCCCTCTTTCT